CGAGGAGAAGTGAATAATCCAGAAATCACACGAGGATAAATTATTTGAACAAATCACAACGCGATTCTAATTTCATGTTCACAAATTGCGGTCCCATAGTACTGAAATAAAACGGAAAATACTCGTTGTAGAGGAAAAAATTAAATTTCATTAAATCAAATGTTACGATTCGCAAGAACGAGTATAACCGAAGAAAATTGCGTTGCTCTTTATGCACACGTCTGTGACACGCATTGCGTTTTCCTGTTACTTCGCTGGTAAAAGAAAAATGCCAGCAGTGCAACATCCTTTACGGCCAGAAATTTATTGAGTCTCGTAGCTGGCAGTCAATGGGTTAAATGCAACATTATTTAATGTATACTTTGAAACAAAAGTAAAGTAGAAAAGCGAGAAAAACATGATAAAGATTCCTTATCTCGATAAGAATTAATATAAAGTTCGAAAAATGTATCTTAACAAATACACTTAAAATAGAAACTCGTAAATGCGCCATTGGGTTTGATAATTTTGCTGTTAAGCACTTTTTAATTAAAAGTTATAGTATAATTTTTCTCTAATTCTTCAGTGCTTTTAATCTACAGATATTATAGATATTTATCAAATTAATAGTTCATTTTAATTGACGACATTTTTAATTAATAATTAAAATTCAATAATTAATTGAGACCTTTTCTAACAAGTTCAGAAGGTCAACTACATTCACGAGATAGTAATTACTTCTTAATTATCAATTGAGTAGTAATTGCTAATTGCATGGTTATCCAATGGTTATTAGTTGAAGTATAACCTTTAGATTGCTCAAATTAAAAATTAAATTCATTTTGAACACACGTATAAATTAATATAAATGCAGAATTTTCTGTCGAGGAGAAGTGAATAATCCAGAAATCACACGAGGATAAATTATTTGAACAAATCACAACGCGATTCTAATTTCATGTTCACAAATTGCGGTCCCATAGTACTGAAATAAAACGGAAAATACTCGTTGTAGAGGAAAAAATTAAATTTCATTAAATCAAATGTTACGATTCGCAAGAACGAGTATAACCGAAGAAAATTGCGTTGCTCTTTATGCACACGTCTGTGACACGCATTGCGTTTTCCTGTTACTTCGCTGGTAAAAGAAAAATGCCAGCAGTGCAACATCCTTTACGGCCAGAAATTTATTGACTCACCTCTCTTTAAACAAAGCATCAACGTCCCCTATAAAAGAGATGAGATTGACCTATCGTATCTCTGGTTGGAATCCTTTGGAAAAGTAGTACTGTTAGAACTCGAAATTTGGCCTCCGTCCAACGATACTCTTGTCTGACAGACATGATTCACTGCTTCTATGGCGGATACGACGCGGACGTGATCCCTAACGCATTTATCGCGATTCCTCGATAACTTCACGATGCAATAACATGCCAAGATTCACAGTCTGTCCACGGCTCAATCGTTTTAGTTGGTCATAGCATACGAAATGTTACCTGTTACTTCTATTTGTATTTTTGCTTGATTAACGTTTTGCCACTTGTCTCACATTAGGTGCTGCAAAACGATATCACACTAAAGCGCAACAAAATTGGTAAAATAAAATAAAATAAAATTGGTGAAATTTAATCATTGAAGTTACTAATCTTTTTTGGGTTTAATTCTTATAGACTTTCATTTCTTTTACCTGTTTCATTCGAGCTTTCCAAGATATCTATAGGAAACGTGAAGTCATTTCGAAATAAAATTAATAAGTTCATAATAAAAAAATAAATTTTCTTACAGTAAATTTTTGTGTTACAAAATTCAAGATAAGTTGCACAAAAGGTATTACATTTAAGTAGCACCGTTTCTAAATTTTTATTAAAAAAAAAGAAGAGGAACAGGAAAAAATACGTCAGAATCTTCTTCCGTTTGGCGAACGTCCAAAACTCTCTTACTTAATGCGAGAATAGTCCTATAATATATTTGCAATTGCAACATAGAGCTTGTACATATAAATTATTAGGTTGTTGCGTATCAAATAGCCAATTTCGAAACACTGAAGTCATTTCCAACATAATTTGACGACGAAAATACCGTCACTTATCCATTTAAAGGAAAGCGATCAACTTCTTGAGGAGACATGACAAAATAACTCGTCATCGACTAACTTCCATAACATATTTATTAAAGTATTTGTCTTTAAATCTATGCATATTTCATATATACATGTATTTAAACTCTATGTACTTATTTTTATTATATATAAATATATTTATATGTCTTTACACATTCTTTTATTTAAAATATCTGTATACCTATCTGTGTATCTATATATTTTGATTTATACAGTAATTGATTTATTTATACATGCATTTAAGAATGTTGTTATTTATGTTTTCAATGGAGATACAGTGTTTAAAGAGATATTTAACAAATTTCATAAATATTATTTAATGAGTGATTTCAAACATAAAATATCAAGTACATAAAAAATATTTATTTCGTTTATAAATAGTATTAAGCTAAGATATTGAACCTATACAGTGAATATTCCCAATCTGTATTTTCATCATTTTATATCAGACAGTGGTCAATTTTGTTTTCTTTGAATCAACTATTTGTCGAATTACAAGTATTCCGTATCGCGCATCTGCATTTACCATAAACAAGACCAGTTGCGTTAATACATATTTTATTACCGGCACCGAAGATAAACGACTTCCTCATGAAAGATCATGCGATTAATAGATTAAAACTGAAGCTTCCAATCGGCACACCGGTTTCGTGATACCACGCGAAACTTTCTACATTTCGAAGTTAACCAACAACCTAATATTACAGCAAGGCCATTACCATATTTTTATTAACATGTACAACAAATAACGGACGTTGGAAAGCATAACAAGGATGTTACTGTCTCGTATTTCAAACACGATTTCCGCCGAGAGCCGTCTTTTATCATTATATTTGCTTCTTTCTGTCACAGAAACGTTTAAACTGCATGTACGTTTTAGAAGCGAAATTAACAGTGGCAATACAAGCATAAATCAAATCTGGCTAGCACACGTCGACGGAAATAATTTCGAGCGAAAATACTTTACGCGGGTTCGCCTCCTACGTCTTCGACGGTGAATTCTCGCAAACTCTCTCAAATAGAAAGCGTCACGTAAGCGGACCAGACCTAATAGCTGGTTAGCATAGAACATAATGAACAAGTGCTAGTATAATATCCGCAGGTAATTGACTTTTACCTGCTGCATTGCACTAAATGGCCCTACTAATAATTACAAAATATACTTTTGAGTATCACAGCACGGCAGCTGTGGCAACAACCGATACATTAGTGACTATTAAAACACTTGCCGTACTATACATTCTATTACTGTATGTACTTAAAACGAGTTTAACCTCTGCATAGCAGAATTACATTTCTGCTGACTCAAACTATGACCTGTGCCAGCGGTTCTCAGGCTTTTTCGATTACGGTTGACCTTAGTATACAAGGTGTTTCTTTTATCTTAAATTTTAAAATCACTTTCGTCGATGCAGAAAGTTGAGTTCCATCGAAGTTCTTCGGTTTAGATTAACGAATGTGACTCGTCTTTTTCACCAGATCGTTATAATTCGTATTTGCAAGCTTTCCGAGATTTATTGCACGTTAATGCATGATTTTTATAATATAATACTGTAATTTATATTTTTTGTAATTTTGTAATTAAAATTTTTTTTTATAGTTACATTTCAATTTTTCATATAACATATTTGTGTGATTTACGATTTTTATAAAATTAAATAACTGTAATATCGAAATTACAATTTTTTGCGATATTGTAAAATTAATTAATTACGGAATATTTCCACTTTGTTCTATTACTCAATCGCTCAGAGAACTTCAAAATACCCTTCGGAAATTATTGCAATTTGGAATACTCTCCCGGTAAAATATTTTTCTGACCGTATTTTTACATCATCTCGAATTTAGACGAACATAATATTTAAAATTAGTAAGCAAAGGATTTTATCATGGTTTCAAAGAGCGGTTCTTCTGAGAGGCTCAGAACAAGTTAATCGTCGATGAAATTTAACATAAGGAGAGTAAGGAGTTAGCATGTCTAATAAATTCGGTTCTTTAGAGTCATCGTTAAAACCAAAACCGTACCTTTAAACGGGTACATGCACGAATTTCAACGCAACAGAACCGCTTTGATGAAGCTGCTCGCAAAAAATCTTTGCGGTTCGAAATACTTGACTACAAACAGACACATCAACGGACACGACCGCAGATGTTCTGTTTTGTTTGGTGGTCGAAGTTAGCCGTGTAGTAGCTAAACTCATCACAGAATACAGTACGATCAATTTATCTGCGTGTCACGCATGGTCTCGTTGAATTTTAATGCAAATAACTGGATGTAGAAACTATTTATGTTTTAATATTTTGATATTTATTTTTAATGAATTATTCGGATGTGTGTATATTTTTAATATGTTTATGTAATAAATATTAATGGATATTCACAATATCTAGTATTTACTGTAATATTCACAGTATCTAATATTTACTATAATATTCACAATTAATATGTAATAAATATTAATAGACATTCACAGAAAATCTGGAAATTTGAGAATTTTGGGGTTAGCAAGATTTGATGATTATATTGAAAAGAAGCTGGCAAAGAGTTTTAAAACCGAATAATGAACAAACATAATATCTTGTTGTAAAAACTTTATCTTAACATTGAACGTGTATAACATGGCGATAGAGAAGCAAGAGTGAACTGATTAGAACAAAACAATTGTCAACGTGCTCATACATTGACAATCAAAAGGGCACAACTCGATTATGCAGGAAAACCGTCGTGAATTGTATTTCCAACACTCTCCCTCAATTCCGCGGTGTTCCTCTTAAAATCGTGAAGAGGTAATACACCTAAACTAGAGGTACATTTTTCATGCTTTACACGGGAAAGCGCCTTTGTCAATACATCTGCCAGCATAAACTCGGTGGGCAGATATTCCAGCTTGATTGGATGATCTCAAAGAACCTGGCGTATGAAGTGATGGCGTACATCTATATGTTTTATCCTTGCGTGGAACAGTGGATTGCGGGCCAGCTTCTGCGCTCCTTGGTTATCATTGTACAATCTAAGTTGAGCAAAATTTTGAAGTCCTAGCTCCTTGAGAAAACCTAGGAGATAAACACCTTTGGCTGCATCGCTGACGGCCATATACTCGGCCTCCGTTGAGGATAGAACCGTTGTGCGCTGCTTCCTCGACTCCCAGGTAATAGCAGAACCTGCAAGAACAAAAACAAACCCAGTGAAAGATCTTCGATCGAGCGCACAATTTGCCCAGTCGGCGTCGACATAGCCAATCAATTCTTTTTGGTCCTTCTTTTAGATGAGCCCATGAGTTGCAGTTCCCCTCAGATACCGAAGAACTCTTTTCACAGCCAGCCAGTGGGTCTTCTGATAGTTGCTACTGAACTGACTTAGTACACTCACGGCGTGAGATATGTCAGGACGTGTGCCCAAAGCAATGTACATCAGGGCACCGATGAGTTCTCGATAGGGAAGTTCTGGGTCACCATTGTTACCTTCCGACTCTTCTTCGAGTTTTGCTCCAACGGCCAACGGAGTTTTTACGGGATTACAGTCTTCCATGTGAAATCTATTCAGAACATCCTTGATGTAGCTTTCTTGAGACAACGTCAAACTCTCCCTTGTTCCAAGATCCCTTGTTAAAAATCTTCTGGACAGCTCGACCTTGATCTCATTGACTCGTGATTTGTTGTTCGATGCAATTAAAATGTCGTCGACATAAACTAATGCGATCGTTGTTCCTTGTCCCTTCTTGTCGGTATATAAGCAGGGGTCAGCATTAGTGGATACTAAACCAATTTCGCGAAAAGCTTCATTTAGTTTCGCATTCCATTGTCGGCCAGCTTGGCGAAGTCCATATGAGGCCTTCTTAAGTTTTTCAAGTACGTGATCCGCTCGAGAGACACTGCTGGATCATTCTTGCCTTGTTTGCAATAATTTGATCCCCTTCTCTACGAATGATTTCTTTCATCATTTCATCTAGGAAATCCAGAATACGCATGTAAACGTCCGTGTCGATGTCTCCGTTGAGATAGGCGGCTGTGATGTCTAATTGAGAAATGTGAAGATCAAGCTCCACGGATAGTGCACCGGCGCGAAGGTATCGTGAAAATCTATCCCAGGTCTCTGCGTGAATCCTTTCGCTACAAGCCTGACCTTTCGACGTTCTAAGCTACCATCGGCATTGTATTTGTTTCGGAGCACAAACCTGCAATCAACAACTTTTTGATTATTCGGTTTATTTACCAACATCCAAGTGTCGCTTGCAACAAGATTCTTGGTTTCAGTGTAAATGGCTTCCTTCCATTTATCGGCGTCCGGACCATTCAGAGCCTGAACGCAAGGTATTTCTGATTCACTCATTGCAAAGCCAGCGTCATGCCATTCTAGTTCCTCATCATCATCCACCGATCCACGATCACGACCGTGATTCGTATCTTGAGACACTTTATTCGATGACAGTTCGCCTTCGTTTTCGGATGCGTTGCGAACTTCGTTGGTTTGGCTCGTTGCGATGCGATTATCTTCAACATCTTCGACTACGGTGCGATTATCCTGGGTGCGATCGGTCGCACTGCTTGTCGCGCATGCTTGTTGTAAATTTTGACGAATGAAAAATAAATCACCTTCGCGATCCGCAATTAATATTGTTCGTTTTTGAGAGTCTTTTATTATCGCTTGATTTTTGGAAAATATTACTTCATTACTTTTGTCGACAATTTTGGAGACGGACAATAAGTTTACTCTTAAACTTGAAACGAGCAATGTGTCCTGAAGTTTGAATGACTGTTCAGTCTTGCCTCGAATGGCAAGACTGACAATCGAACACAACCTCTTCCGGTCACTCGCGTCATCGCGTCGCTCGCTAACTTCAGTCCAGAATGCGTTTCTTCCGATTCGATAAACAAGCTTTTATCGTTGCACAAATGGGACGTGCACCCACTATCCAAAAACCATTTGGGCACAATTGCACTATCGGCTGACGAATGTAAACACTCCGTGATAAATGCCTGTTCGGCAACATTTGTCTTTGGAGAAACCGCTTTCCCTTTCGCAAAACAATTTGCAGATTTGTGTCCGATCTTGTGACAATAACCGCGCTTGTATTTGATGCGTCTGTCGGTAACATTTTGTTTACCACCGATTTGATTTCCGATATTGTGTCTGTTGGTAACTGTCTATTTGCCACCGATTTGATTACCGATATTTCCGTGCTCTTTTCGTGATTGTCCGCGAAATGGTCCGTACTTCACAAACATGGCGCCGTCTCCGTTTCCTTTTTCTTTTTGCTTCCGGGCGTCGTCCAATTCGATGATTTTTACCCGTAGAGAATCCGGATCGGGCAAATCATCCCGTGATTGCATGGCTATACGAAAGGTTTCAAAACTCGCGGGTAAACTATTTAATATAAGCACCGTGAGCAGATCACCGTTAATTTCGACGTTCATTGCATGAAGTTTGTCGACAGCATCATAGAACTCTGTTAAATGCGTTCGGACATCCATGCCTTCAGCCATCTTGCATAGCGTGACTTGATTTAGCAAGGCCGCTTTCTTAGCAGGACCCTTAGATGCGTACACGCTTTCGAGCTTTTTCCATACATCATTCGAAGTTGCACATTCACGAAATTGTTTTAATTCTAATGACGAAATGGATAGTATGAGATCCACCTTTGCCTTCCGATCCGCTGCGATCCACTCCTTTTGAAACTGTTCCGATCTGCGTCGCGCATCACCTTCGCCGGTGATTATCGGCATCGGTATATCACCTGAGACATACGGTCACGTATCATTTTTCACAAAAAAGGCTTCTGCCTAAATCCGCCACGTATCGTAATTATCGCGGGTGAACACTTCTATTCGCGAGGAACTTGCGGTATTCATGTCTTTCATCCTTCGCGTGTTACTGAATCGAGGAACTTTCGAGATCGTTCATGCACTCCGCCGTTTCCTTTTTACGACATACACCAAAAAGGATTTTTCACTTTTTCAATTTCTCACAGGAATTGCATTTCCAACAGATTAGAAGTTTGAACATGTCAGAAATTGGGAGATCAGAAAAATTGAGATTTTAGAAATTTGAAAACTTGCGAACTTGGACATTTTGGTAATTCGGGAAATTTGGGAATTTGGAAGATTGAGAATTTGGATATTTTGCAATTTTAGATCTAGGACAATAGGATTTATTGGAATTAAGGAATTAATAAATTAATGAATGTGGAAATTGATGAGATACAATCAGAATATGTACAATTTTGCAATATAGAAATTTTGGTATTTGCAAATAGAAAAATTAAATTTGATTATTTGAGATGTTGGAAATTTAGATAATTTAAGATTTAAGAATTTCAAAAATTATTTATTGATATTATAGAAATATTGAGAATATCAAGATTTGACAATATGAGGCTTTGAAAATTTGAAACTGTAGAAATTTAGGGATATGCAAATATAGGAATTTGGAGATTTGGAAACTGAGGTACGAGAATTTTGGGAATTTGAGAATTTAGGAATTTAGAAATTTAGGGATTTGATAATTTGAAAATTCGAAAACTTGAATGTTTAAAAATTAGGGACTTGAAAGACAGGAAACTAAGTAAGTTAGAAATTCGAAATTTTGGATGATAGAAATTTTCGGATTAGAAAATATAAGAGTTTGAAAATGTAAGAATATTTGAATTTAAAAATTTGGAAGTTTGGCAATTTGAAAAATTGTAAACTTGAGAAACTGGAAAATGTATAAAATTGATACTAAAATTGTACTAAAATTGGAAAATGTACAAAATTGATACTAAGATTCTACTAAGTTTTGGAACATGTACAAAATTGAAAATATGTGAATGTAAGAAATGTACGAAAATGAAAATTTGTGCGTTCAGAAACCTGAAAAGTTGAGAATTTAAAAATCTGAAAATTTGAGGTCTTGGAAATTCAGAAATTTGATACCATAGATAGAAGAAATTTGGGAATTGAAAAATATCCTAATTTGCAAATTACAAATTAGCAAAAATAGGAATTTGGAACTCAGAGATCAGAGAAAATATAACCAACAAAACTTAAAAATATGAGATTATAAAACTTAAAAATCTAAAATTCCAAAAAAAAATCTTTAATTCTATTTCTCTAAATTTCTATTCAAAATTCATAAAATTCGTTACAAAAATTTCAATAACGATTTTCTATTTAATTTCAAAACCATAATTATTCAAACATCATTAGCTTCAATGTGAATATAAACATGAAAAAATAAGGACACGCGTAAAAGTCATGAAGAATCGTAAAAGTAACTATTATAGAAAAGGGGAATATGTAAAACCGAGAATGGAAAGAAACGGAAGAGGGAAAGAAAGAAAAGGAAATCGTCTGCTAGACCAAGTGATACGACTCGTCTAGATCCTGAAAGGAAGAACATTTTATAGGTTAGAATCTGTTTTATGTGTGCCGGATTTGCGATTACGACTGTGACTTCGAACGATTCAGACAAAAAGAGTGTCAACGAAACGAGAGAGAAAGGAAGAAGGAAATAGTTTTATGTTTTAAAGTTAATCCCTTCACAGCTTTCCGTGAAAAAGATATGTATTCTTTTCGTTCTTTGAACATTGGTAGACTAATAATTTCCATTTTGTTCGTACAACTGTAAAATGTTATTTATGTAAAGTTACATAATTATAGTTCTCCGTTGACTCTAAAGAAGGTTGTAAAGTTATGAGTCATCAGAATACATTTATTTTTAGGATATGACCACTATGCAAATTTTTATAATCTAATTGTAATTTTTATAACATTTTAGAATTATTGTCTACTGTTTTTGTTCGAATTTTGTTCACATTTCATTCAAAATTCTCATTTTCAAATCACTTTCCATATTCTATAATTTTTCAGAAATTGTTTATGTAAGAGAAGTTTATTTATAAATTTTCAAATTCTAAATTCTAACAGTTATCAAATATACATATAGGTTTGTAAATTTGAAAATATTTCAAAGACATAGTTATCAGATCTTGAACTCCAAATGTTGACAAATATATATTCCTAAATTTCGAAAATTTGAACTTCATAGGTTTCCTGGAGTACAAATTTTTAAAAATACAGTCTCGAATTTAAATATGATTAATTACTGAAATATTTTAATTCCATGGTTTCTGAATCCATTGGTTGCGCATTTTCTAAATTGTCAAATTCATGTCTTTATCAATTTTCAAATTCCGAAATTCTTAAACTTCCAAATCCTTTAGTTTCTAAATTTCTAAATTCCTAAATTCCCAAACTACCCAATTACCAAATTTCTGAATTTCCACGTCCCTAAATTTTCAAATTTCTGAATCCTCAAATTCCTAAATTTCGAAATCCCTAAATCCTTAAATCCCTAAATCCCCAAAAACCCTAAATTCCTAAATCCCTAAATCCTTAAATCCTTAAATCCTTAAATCCCTAAATCCCCAAATCCCCAAATCCTTAAATTCCTAAATTCCGGTGTTCTTGAATTCCCGAATTAAAAATTTTTAAAAGTGTAACGTTTCCGGGAATATCAAATCAACCCTGTCGATAAATAAAGGAACATTCTAATCCGTAAATCTTTTTTTTATTCTATTACCGATCGCAAATTACCGACTGCACCATAAAAATTTGCACGGTAATAGCATGGGGTAGATCACGCGTGCAACATTGTTAGAGTAGATTACAGATCGATGGCGCGCGCGATAGTTAGAAAGAGACGACAGATATACCTTGAAACCAAGTTATTATAAATTATCATTTAAATATTTATTATTCATTATTAACCCATTATAAATTGCATTATATTTTTAGTTATTATTTTACGTATTGTTTGTAATTAATTATTTCTTCTAATGAAACACTTATAAATCGCGTATCTAAAAATCATTAAAACTCTGATTTAACAGAAAAACTTGTGAAAAACTAATTAATAATAAATCAAAGCATATTTTTATTAATCGAATTAATATATATTTGCTACTAAATAAAGCGTAATAAAATAATAATACTTTTTGAACGGGAAAAACCCATGATTCTCTGGGTATAAAAGGGCGTGCAGCAAAGGCTGCGAGGGCAGAACAATCTTTGAAGTGATACATGTCGGACCTCTTAAGAAGCGACGAACTGGAGCAGTTTTAACTGGTAAGAGCCTACAAGATTCTTAGTTTTGACTGGACAGCGGGTATCAGCCATTTGAATACTCGATCGTTGGGTAGTAGCCAGCTAACGCAGGCTCCCCATTCAAACGGTCTTGTCTCTGAAACTCCTTTGAGAGTGCTATGCTCATCCCCAGAAAGAACTAAGACATAAAACAAGAGCTCTCCAGTCATTCACATATATTTCTTATTTCTCTGAGTTACTAACTCGCCGTCAGATTCTCGGAGTTCGCTCTGGGTAGTTTAGTAGCCAGCTAACGCAGGCTTTCCATTATTGAGCAGCTTGGTCTCTGAAGCCCGTGTCTTTTGGGTGGCGTTTCGGTAACTTTAATAAATAAATAAAGTCGAGCCATTTTAATTTGCAACCCTGTTGGTCACACGTCGGTCATTTGATTCTTGCATCGTTGGGTAGTTCTAGTAGCCAGCTAACGCAGGCTCCCCAATTAAGGTTTTGGGTGCCGATTTGTGCTTCGACAAAAAGGGCCATGAAACTAATTAGTTTAGAGTCAAACAAGGAACTGTTCCACGTCCAATACAAATTTTAGAGTTTTTATAATTAACCAAATATTGTTCTGTCAATTTTGTTAGGATCTAGATCCATTATAAAATTGCGTTATTTTCTTGCGCTGCGTACATCATTATAAAACTGCGTAACTGAAGTAATTAGCTACCGTCTTGCGATTTGCGATATCAACAAGTCATGTTTTTATATTTGCTAAAGAAATTGTTAATTATAACTCTCTTCTTCATCGTCACTTGAATAAACCTAATTAATGAAAGGTATTAACCTGTAGATTTCACTCTTTAACCACACGCCACCACGATCCCACATTCTTTTAGAATTAGTTATAGTATAAATGAGTCGCTTAACAGGCAAAAGCCGCTCTTTGCTTCATAAGTGCTGTAAATATCTGAGTCTAGTACCAGGGACGTTACAAAAGCCTAAATAAAATTGTCAAACGTCTATTCGCGATAACTACTGAATTTACTCTTACAATTAAATGTACATGTTCACAATTTTCTTCACAAGTCCACCATCACGTTCCAAAGTCCGAATATTAACAGCTGCGAGTTAAATTAACTCAACCAATTAAGATAATAGGATACTTAGCCTAATACAAGTATTCTGTAATTCAAAGCATTTATTATATTATCGAAAAAAGTTCGAAGCTTTTTACGTAAGTGGATATGTACGGATAACAGTGTACATGTGAATATTATACAAAGAAGGAACTATTTAAAATTTACTTATCTGTTAGAAGATACTTAAATGACGATGTAGAGCAAATGTGTAATTGAACTACGTTTCGTAACTTTTACCGCTGTGTAATAATAATGAATCATATTACTACTCGACTTTCAAATTTGCGATTTTTCACTTCTCTTAGAAGTGAAAAATTCGCGTATGCTATTACATTCATATTTTCTTTTGTGAAATATAAGTGTGAAGTGGGGTAAGTTCGTAAACGGGGCAAGTGCGTATACAGACTATTTTTATTACAATATGAGCGAAATTTCTCCATTTAGTATGTTTGTTTCCTTGTTTTGTTTCACTATATCCCCTTTTTTATTTCAGCTAAGAGTACTTGTTTGCAGTATAGAGTACTTGCATAATGCAGTAAAAAGCACTTTATAGCAGATTTGTTAATAATTCTGCTCTTGCCCCATTGCACATGAAATAAAGTTTCAAAGTATTTAACTTTAAGTTACGCCCTTACCCCATTTTCGGGGAAAGTGCAGAGCAGTTGACATTTTAAACAATTTCGTATCAAAAGCAAAATGTACAAGGAAAATTAAGGTCCTAGTTAATATTAATTAAATAGCAGTAATTGTGCAAAGCGTTCGATATCGACAGCGTTAAATATTTACATAGCAGACTGAAAATACTTACGTTTAAATTTCAACTTTACAAAAACCAGTCTGTACTTACCCCACTTCACCTTACTTTATATAATTTATCTAATAAATTTTACCTGAATTTTGAAAAAAGTTATGCAGAACATTTTACATACATTTTTTAATTTGAAAATGTAGTTGAAAATTCGTGAGAGGTTTGTAAATCAAAGACAAGATATTGTACGGATAATGTAACTATAAGTATGCATAATTATTACAAATATATAGACTATGGTATAGTATAGTAATGTATAGTATAGTTGATTATTTTAAAAGTAATATGGAATACAAAGGTGAATTACACTTAAACGTCCATTTTGAAAAGAAAGAATCATAAAAATCTCGATGAATAAGCAGTTCCGATTTATGGTAATTCTGTCGTTAGATTTTCAACTTTTTTATACGGATTTCATTAAAATTTTAAATCGTAACTTATCGATGCATAGCTCATTGACATATTGAAGCTGATAACAAGTTACGTCAGTTCATTTGACGACCAGTTTCTCACCCAATACTAATTAACAATCCTGATGCATAGTATGGCGCTGCATACCCCACCTGCATTTATGACAACCGCTGCACTATGAGAATTTCCATGGATCAGTAGTCCTTCCGGTAGTGCTTCTTTTTCGCTTTTTTTCTACGTGGGTGTCTTCGAACACCCACATATTAGTCGGTTACTTAGTTTCAATTTTGTTGATATCAATATTGTAATTTTATAGAAATTGATATTTCAATTCTGTATAGGAACTAATGTTTTGATTTTGTTGAGACTAATATTCGCATTTTGGGTCACTAATATTTTAATTTTATAGAAATCGATATTTCAATATTACTGAAATAGTTTCTTTAATATTATAGAAACTCATATTGTAATTTTGATAAAATTGGTATTTTAATTCTACGGAAACTGATATTACAATTTTGTTGACATAAATATTTCAATTTTTCTATTAGTTAAATTTTGCTGAAACTAGTATTGTAATTTTGTCTAAACTTATATTTCAATTTTATTGAAATTGATATTTTAATTCTATAAAAATTGATACTTCAATATTATAGAGATTAATATTTCAATTTCGTTAAAATCAATATTTCAATTTTATTGAAACTATTTTTTATTGGGTGCCAAATCTTTATTAATAACATTAAGTAACAATGAATTCGACTATACATTTAAAAATAAATAGTTTATAATTCCCTATAGCTATATATTCCCGATAACTATAAAATTTTCATGACTTAATAAATAATAAAATTTCCTCATAATTCTAATATACATATACATGACTTTTTAATAGGTAATTGTGACATATAAATTTGTTGATTCATTGTTTGTTCTGATAAGAAGTAGTTATTTTGTATTAAATAAATTAAACGTTTAGACAAGCATTTTCATGAATTTTTCAAATTTCAAATAGACAATATGCTACAGGTTTGGAAATTTCTCATTTTATATGCAACAGCTTAATAGTATCAGTTAACAATTTTTCGAGTAAACTGCTGTTCATGAAAATACGATGAATTCAAACTAATTTTATAATTTTTAAATTACGAAAACTGTTTTTCTTAATTCATCAAAGGTTTACGAATGTAGTTTTATTGTTGATTTTAATAACTATAATATAAAAATTATATGGGGAGTTAATATCGAAAATAACAGTGGACAGATTACAAAATAAACTACAAAATAATTTATAAAATAATCAACAAAATTAAGTACAAAATGAATTGCGCAATAGACTTTATAAAATAAACCACAACTTCAATTGGAAATTCAATATATCGCAATGCTCTAACATAACCTCTAAAATCCACGTTGCATCGATTTACCTAACCTAACCTTCTGATAACCTAACCACAATTTTAAACAGGAAACTGCAACTCCTCTTACTTACTACCTTCACAGAAACATATGTATATTATAGTTTTATTTAAAATATTACATTGTGTCACTCATTTTACACATGACAAACTAATTAAAATAATAAAATATGTAAAATGAACACGATTAATTTGATTTTTGTTTCAAAACAACCAAATTATTAAACTATGAGTTGATTGAACAGTTTGTAAAATTAGTTTAATAGCAAACTGCTATAAAAAATTATATTTTAACATAGAAATTTGTATCTTAAATTTTATATTTAAATTGTACTTGCAAAATCTCACACAGAGTTGAGTATCTCTTATGATTTACCAAATAAAATCGAACAGAAAAATATGATTAATTAAATTTACAGATAAATTACTCCGCTAACGAACAAGTAAATCTATAAATTACAATATTTATACCTTCCTTAGTGGAGTAATATTAAAAGTTTGAGTTTGATTGTCAAGTAAGTACACAAAAAAGTAAGTAGGAAATCCGTTTATTTAAACATTCAACAACAATCTGCCGTGTCTACACTCAGAGTCCAACAATCTGAGTCTACACAATCGAATACTACTCAGTTTTCAGCGATCCACATATGCAGATTCTAAAATTTTATCGAAAAGAAGTACATACACCAGAGAAAATTTATTCAAATTGTATCATTCACACGGTAACATATTATCTAACTTTACAGCTAACGTGGGAATTATCGTCTTTCTGTTGCCCGTGATTCTTATTCATATTCATTCGTTTCTAAGAATTATCTCCTCGCAAAATAACAAGCAGAGACGTTACACGTTCTCACATGAAATTCCCAACAGCTAATATGTACACAAGTGGGTGTCAGCAAGTAATTTGTAGAGAGAACATAAACGTATCGTAACTAACCACAAATAAACATTATCATATTAAATATACGCGTATCTTCTGCATCTTTCAACGAATAATTATCTCAAAATTAAATCATTGATGAAAATAAACCAACACTCCAAAGTACATGCGTATAGAGCGCTTTAAATAAATTATCGTCGATCAGCCGTTCATTAACAACTTCTCCATGTAAACAAACGTGAATGTTATACAAATGATTGTTGTACAATTACAGTTTGTATTCAACTCCTGTAACATTTTATTTCTGGAAATTAAGTTAAAACAACCAAGCTGATACAAAAATCGTTCTGATTAAATTGGCAATTTCGCAGAATATTTATCAAAATAGTAATTCAAATTAGTCAATCAAAACCGATATACACTTTGTATTTGAATAAGTATACAAGTACATTCAAAGTATACAGCACATTTAATAATCTTCGATAGCGAATCGAAAATCTTTCGTCACATTTTTCAAAATCGATTTGCAACAAAATTCAGACGATTTTTAATAAAAAGTATCTGAAGTAATTATAGGTATGGTTATTAAATATATTTTATCGATCACATTTTCAAATACTTTTAAAATTGACTAATAATAGGACAAGGAAGATTCTTCGTAAAATAAATGACATTCTGCAGCTATTCATGCGTCTACCAGAAATTCAACTGTGGAAAAAAATTGAAGATAATTTTTTTATATGTAAATACTAAGAATATTTTGATACTATATTATGTGACTTTATGTAACATTCTTTTTCGTTACTTTTCGGTGAAATAAATATGTACAGAATTATTAAAATAATCAGTCAAAAATTAGATAATTAAAAATTGTAAGATATAAAAATAAAAAAATGTGGAAAGTTAATCTACAGATTCAAATATTAAAATATGTGGAAAGTTGTAAATTAGCTTGTGCGTTCAATGGCGCCTGGGTTTGTGACGAGCGACTGTAAACGCTTTAACTCGAAATCGTTACAAAAGTTTCACTCAAAAAAAAATCCCTAACTTTTACAAAATAAAACGCGAATAAAACTCACCATGGCTACGTAGTAGAATGTTCTGGAGGACTATCAGGGCTGGGCGGTACTCTGGCGGGCGGAATATTAGCATTCAAAGGATGCAAAATCGGCCTGAGGTGCATAGCACTCGGAGGTGGTGCAACTCCTATATAGGGTACCTGCCCCTCGTAAGTAGGTGCTCCTGTAGATGTGTATCCCGTGCAACAATACGACCGACCTGATTGCACCATTCTCACCGCTTTCCAAAAGTGCATTGTACGAATGTCATTGCTGGCTGTAAATAGAAACAAGAAAACCATTAAAACATTAATGTAGGGATCGACCTATTAAAACTAAATTTAAAACTATTAAAACTAGAACTAATCTCACAACTGTATTCTAAGTTATTCGAATTATTCAATTTTTCGAATATCAATTCAGCATTCGAATTATTTGAATACTTAAATACTGACCAAATTTAATTTTGAAACTCGTTTACTTCCAATATTCGAACACTTCGAGGTTGTTCGATTTAAAAATGTTCAAATACCAATTCTGTTTCGAAATTCGAAGTTAATCGAATTAATAGAATATCCGAATTTCTGTATTATCCAAATAATTAAATTATTCGAAGTGTTTGAATTTCAAACTTGAGTACTTGAGTTCATACTTTCATACTTGAGTTTGTTTGAATTATTCTGTAGCGGCTAGCTTCGTGATTTTTAAGCGATCATTGCAAGTGCAAAAGGCCAGCACGGTTTACGACGTATACGGTCGAAACGGCTATTTTTGAGGATACCGTTAGATTTTCTCTGCGTATGTTTTGTAGTTTTTCGTCAACGGTCTCACTAGCTACGTACGGCATCAAAAACCGGGGATTTCCGAAGGGACCACGGTTCCGGGCCTGACGGTCCCTGACCGTGCAGGGGAGCGGTAAGTGGTAACCGGGAAATCCCGCTGCTTTGCCAAATTTATCGTTTGGAAGACACCCCCATCAAGGGATGTACGATGTGTTGAGAAACGTATCAAGATTCGCTCCGTATTGCTTAAAAGACTTAGACATTTTTATTCACCCACCAACTCCTAAAATTCAAATAATCAGATAACCATAAAATTCAGTTCTAGGATTCAAATACTTTGAATATATGAACATATAGGGGAAGGTAGCCTAATTTGGACCGTCGCCTAATTTGGACCGCTGTGATATCCAAAGATTAATAAAATCTGTGCGATTTTAGACAGGCAACTTATTATACGTAGATGTAGACGAGGTTAATGCAATCGTGTTTGTGAAGAAACGTCTCATGGTTACATTGAGAGAAGTGTTATTTGTTTGACTACGAAGAAAATTTGTTATTTTGATGTAAGAGTGAAAGCCGTTAATTCGTCCAAACGTAAGTAATTACAGGTCTTATTATATCATCACAAAATTACAGGTCTTATTAAAGCATCACAAAGCTTACTTATCTGTCTATAATTTCCTGTTACAATTTTATGAGGTTATGTTAGTCTGACGTTTTTGTATAATATTAAGTATAAAATATTCAAGTTGCCGGAGTTGGATCGAAAACAGTTGCCGAAATTGGACCGGTTCAATTTGGACAACCACATTACAACTTCTAGCAGTGATGATGAAGAAGATAGAAGTGACAACGAGAGTAAACAATTTAGGAGTGTTCTTGAAGAAATATCACCGCGAGCAAAGAAAAATCAAAATCCAGATGGTCCTTCGTCTTCTTGCAGTGCGCCAATAGCCCAGAAAGCAGTGAAAATA